ATGTTCGTGACTTCTTTTTCCACGGAAATGGAAGAAATTGAGTTGTTGTTTTTTCTTCCCCCTTTCCCTGGCGGGTCTCGTCTTGTGCAACCGCAAGCGGTGCCCAGAAGACCAGGATTTAATGTGTCATGCGGCAAAATTTACTGATTGAGGGCTTTAAATTATATGAGAACACCGACGTTTCCGTCTTATATCCAGCAAACCTCGTTGGTGTGGGTGGCAAGTTGTGTGAAGCACGCCAATAGGTAAGGTGGTGGACCTTTGTTGGACTGTCTTTTGTTAAAAGAAGCTGCAACAGGGTTTTAAGTTAAACAGAATGCACCATAGGAGACTGCTGAAAACATTTCTGATAACTCTGTAGAAGATTTGTTGTGGCTTTTGGTTTAGCAGCAAATTAAAAAGGCTTGTGGCAATTGAAAGGCTGGAAAACTTTATTTAGCTCAAGCTTTCATGGAATGCAGGTGAGGCAGCAGCCCATGAAAATTTAGGCTGAATAAAGTACCTTAGGCATCCTTGTTGGTAATCCTAGGAAGATGGATTTTTACACTTTCGTTTGTTCAGATTTTGCAGTGAGGGTTTTTAAGATTTATTTTGAGTAAAGATTTGTTATCCGTGTAGTTAATCTTTTGTTGTGCTTTGTGCTAATGTTTGACCCAAGCTGTTCCTTATTTAGTAAACAATGACATGTATTATGTATTTTTTTCTGTTGCCCCACTTAAGGAAAGCAATTAGAGAAAACAAAGTCAACTTTGTTCCAAAATGTATAATACTATGAGGACCTGATGTTTAATGGTTTGCAGCAAATATTGAATATTTTTGTATGAATTCTGATCTTTTTATTGGAGTAGACAATCTGATGTTTGTTTATTGATTTTGTAAAGGATGTTTCTTAATAAACTAGCAGAGTAATCCTGTCCCATGTATGTCCATTCAAAAATAAATTTGAGATGTAACTTCTTGATTGTATAGGATTGTACTTACTAGGGAATTAATCTCATTGAGCGCATTTAGATTTAGTGGACAACCATAGGATTGAACAGAACATGGCCTTCAGTCTCAGCAACTCACTTTCATTTTTTACATTACAGTTTGTTTAATTACTAATAATTACCTTATATTTATAATAAGAATATTCACTTCAAAATGAACTGCTTATCAGTATAACTTACTTCCATTTAAGAGAATGACATACCGTCTCCAACCAGTCCGCCCTACCATGGATTATTTATCTGCAACCTTGTTGGCATGCTGCCATACCATAGATATGATAAGTACACAAACCAAAATGCCTCTAAATATACCTCTGTTCTTGGGGAGGAATAACAGACTTTTTGTTTCTGTTTTTATGGACTCTGGATCATTGATAGATTGGCATAACATAAGCAGCAAAAGGTTGAGAACCCTTAGTGTGGATGAAATATAAAGTGACCAAGTCATATAAGTAACTGCAACTTGAATGTATGCCCAGAACTGACTCTGAATTCCCATTAACATATGGTGGGTATTGTCCTTGTGAAGTGTGACTAGATATGAGGAGTGGTGAAGCCCAAGTAAGTGTTCTTATCCGTTGTCCTTTTAGTGACACGAAATTTCATTATCTGACTGAGCTCTGGACTTTGTAAATTGTCATTAAGTAATTGCCTCACAAGCTGACGTTTTGGATTGGAAAGGGCTGTAAGGAAAAGATAACAGTAAACTTAAATCTGGAGTTTGGAATCAACTGGTTAAAAAAACCTATAATTTATTTGTAAAACATTTTCTCAGTGACCAAGGCATAACTATAACGATCTGTAATGTTTGTTTGTTTGTTTGTTTGTTTGTTTGTTTATTTATT